GCTCCCTCAATGGGTTTGTGCTCAGAATATTTTCCATTGTGCAGATATAGATTCCTGGTTCGTATTTCTGCAGGGAGATTTATTTAAATAGTTTACTGAATTTGCAATGTATCTTAGAAGCAGAATAGATTCAGTTTACTGTCATTTCTCTGTATGTGTGTGTGGATGTTCACATACATGTCTTTGCATGTACATTTTGATGTCAGTATCATTCACAATATAAGCACAATATTTATGTTGCTCTTGCTCCCGTGTAGATTTCAAGTTTAAATTCTTTTCACAGCTTGGGGATGTACATTTTAGCCAGTATAACATTATTTTTTAAAAATAAAAATCATCCTCCAAGTAGAAAAAGAGAATTTGATTCATATGGAAGGGGGACAAAGTGAATTGGCAAATTGTGGGCAGGTGCTAGGCCAGCTTCCTCCACATGAATTTGTTAATGCGTCTTAATCCTGACCTGCAACACCCTGCCTGGCTAAAGCTGTGGCCTCTCATGACCAAGAATTGCAGACTGCTGGGTTGTGTGACACTAGGCTGGGATTTTGTCTTTTTCTTTCATTTTTTCCCTGTGTTTTATGTTGTTGACTACATTTCATTTGTGACCTACATAGGATTTGAATTCAGTTCTCTAAATTTTTTGTGAGAATGGAATTACTCCACTTCTCTTTGTGTGCATGTACATCTATGCTTGCACATTGCCCCCTGTGAAGAAATTTCCACTGCACAGAGATGAAAAAATGTTATTTTGAAACAGAGCCCCCAATCTATATTTCTTTAAATTGAACGTGGCAGCTCAACACGCTCCTTTTCCTTTTCTTTTGCTGCTTTCTTAATTTGTAAATGGGTAATTATTTGTTGGGGGTTTTTCTTCAGATTTGGGTGGATGCAACGTGGAGCTGAGTGTTGCTATGCAGATTCCTGGTTCTGATGGCAGGAACATAAAGCTCTGCAAAGAAGGGCGTCATCTCGGCAATCCGGGGATGCGCGCTCCGACTCGTGCCTGTGATTTCATCCTTGCAGCAGCGTTCCCCACCCGGGTGACTCCCTGAGCCCAAACAGGGGCTGAATCTTGGGCTGCAGATGAGCAGATTAAAAGTTGGGATAATGGTGTTAACAGGGGGACGGTGGACACGCGGCGGGTTTGCGGGGAAGCGCCACGCCGCGCTCCCAAAATACAGTTTGCGTAGGGAAGCACTGTCATTCCCTGTTTTCTGGGTTTTGGTGGAGAAGCAACTGTCTGTTTTTGTAGCTGTGTATCAAAAAACCAGTGTAAATATATGCATCATCCTGCAAAATAATAGAGAAGCCAGTGCATCCATGGAGTTAATAGAATAGACACCGAGCGTTTTTTCATTGGCACTTACCAAAAATGCAAACTTCCCCCACACAGTTATCCTCTCATTTCATTCCTCTTTCACTATTTTTCTCTGGATTTTTGCTCACATGTAGCTGAATTCAACAAACAATATTGAAATCAGTGTTGTCCCTACCCCACTGTACACTCTGCCTTTTGCTGTGTGCTTTTCCTTCAGTTGCTGACAAAGGCAAGAACCCAAATGCTGGGTGATTGTGGTCAGGTTTTCCAATCTTTCCATCAGATCTCTTACTTCAAACTATGAATAACTCCATTCCAGCAGAGTCATAACTGTCATGTAAATGCATCTTTTCCTGTATACATAATACAAGAACCTGAGAGAGTTTTCAGAACAAGCCAAAGAACATGGTGAAAATTTATGTATTTTCCCAGTTTAGGTTGTAAGGGCTGGATTCACAAAGGTGGACTATTTTTTTTTTTTTTTTGACCAAAAATTTTTCATTTATTTTTAATTTAATCACATGTTTTAGTTTTCAGGCACATTCTGAAAAATGATCTTTATAAAATATGCAGTCTTCTTCACAGTCTTATTACATCACTACTGCACTGGGAGAGACATCTCTCTAAATTGAAAACCATCTTTAATGAATTGTTGTTTTATTTTAGGATCCCTTTAGGTTTCCTAGAACATTCAGTCTGAGTTGTCTGTCTGAAGGAATTCGGACGTAACAAATCAAAATAAAAAAATATTCTGCAGCCCTTGACCTGGCTCACAGCAACCCCCTGTGTTATAAAACAAAGGGCTGTGGTGATGGGGGAAATCCCACTGTGAGGTAGAAAATCAGCATTATTGCTTAGCTGCGGATTTGGAATCAAATCGCATGCAAGATTTTAAAATTTGATGGAAAACTGTGACCTTCTACTTTACCTGCAACTGTAATAGAAGAAAGTGACCCTAGAAGAATGTGATTTATTAGTGAGATAAACTGAGACGTAAAATATGAGGAGGACGGATTATTGTCAGTAAAAAGCATAAAGACAAGGGAAAAAAAAATCTGAACATTAATTGCCAGTGAAGGAAATATAGAGGAGGAAAGAGGGAGATGAAGGGGAGAACGAGAGCATCCCCAGTGGCAAAATGGTTAAAAGAGTCGACTAAAATCCAGCAAAAAATCAAGCAGTCAAGTAGTTAATTGACTTTGCTTTAATCAGCCCAATGAATATTCATTAGTGTGCTGGTCCTAATCATGGGGGCCATGTTGTCCGCATTTAGCAAGTGCACGCTCAGCATCATGCATGCCTCAACAGCTTCCCTTCCTCTCCGCACTGACATTAAATTTAGAGGCTTTGCGCCTTCCCAGCTCGAAGGGAGCGGGATTGGCCCAGCTGCTCGCTCCGAGATGCCATAGCAACCCCTGGCTCGTTGCCTTGGAAACATTTTTTTTAAATTTTTTTTTTTTTTTTTTTTTTTTTTTTTTTTTTTTTTTTTTTTTTTTTTGTTAGGGCCTGAGCCAGTAATCCATAGGCTTAACGTAGAAAATATGTCTTTGTGGGGCATGTGTGTATGGATATAGAGATGTAAGGCAGAGATTGAATGGGCGGAAGGCGAGCGCGTCTTCCATTGTGTGGCTTTCACGACAGGAATGGGGTGAGGGATCTCCTCCTCCACAGCCCAAGCTCTGCTTTGGGTTATGAGCTTTACGTTTACTATTTTATTTTATTTAAATTAAAAATGCATCAGCTCTCTCTGTTCATTTCCAGACCCGTTCAAAGGGAGGAGGACTATTTCTCTCTGCCGTAACCCTCCCCTCCCCACTCCAGGAAGAAGCAGCGAGTGCTTTAAGGGCTATAGGACCCTATTATCCACATCGAGTTGAAGTTCCTCCTCCTGAAGGAGGTGGGTCTGGAAATGAGCTGCCCCATAAATCAATGGAGAAGTGCAGGCATGGAGCTGGAGTCACGGAGCGGTGAGTGCGGCTGCTGCTCCTCACGTTCCGGCTGCTTCTCCCTTTGCGCGAGCAGGGGGAGGCTCCTGCTGGAGATTGGTTCAGCCAACCAACTCCAATCCCACTCCAGTCTCTTAATATTCCAGATGTTGCTGGGGAAAAAATTATGATGTCCTGATCCTGGTGTTTTCGGAGTAGTGTGTGTTTCTGCCTCCCTGAAAGAAAAGAAACGGAAAAGCAGCAAAGTCCCCCAGCTGTGTCAGACCCAGCATTTCAGGCTTTAAAAATAGAACTTAAAAGTAAAGGGGAAAAAAAATTCCAAAAAACAAACCACCCTAATATATTCAGAATGCCTGCAAGGAATTTTGGAGCTGGGAAATCCAAATGGTTAATGTTGTCTGGTAAATAAAGCTCATCCCTTAAAGCAAATTAAAAAAAAAAAAATAAAAAAAGCCCTGACCCAGTGAGGCATCATCTCCAGTGGAACAAAACAGCTGCAGGGAAAATGCGCAAAAACAACCCATCCTCTTTGGACTCGGGCTGTGCGCGTGCGAGCTGCCTTGTAAAACACTCAGGGTAAAGATGAAAGCTGCACAGGAATTCAGAAATAGTCCTGCAGAAGATTAAGCAATAGGTGCTTTCAAAAAAGCATTAGTAATTTCCTAATATCTATAGTGACTTTTTTTTTTTAATAGTTCTTAAGATAGAGCAGAAATGGCTACAAGTGAAAAACTAATTCAGAAGCTGTGAGAGGAATTGGGTTTGGTCTTTACGAGAGGTTTTTTTTAATGTTTCTATTATCGTTATCTTAAATTATTCAAAAGTGTCATTTTGAGCTCACAGTGCAGGCACATGGTTTAATGAAAGCAGATGAAGAAGGATCCTCCTTATTGAAAAAAAAAAAAGGAGGTGCATTGTCCCATCTCTTGCCACCTGTGATGGGAAAGATCCTGCTGGTTCAGCATCGTGTCCTGGGGGGAGCATAACTGGAAAAGGGGGATCATTTTTTTGGCCTATCAGGAAGATGTTCTGTAATGATGCTAAAAATGTGGGGACGGTCAGGGCTTGTTGCCAGGGCAGCATAGAAAGGGGCAAACTTTATTTACCCCTGATTCCCCTGTCCTGAGCAGCACCAAAACCCCATTAGACATTTCTAGAGGGTGCAGGGCTCAGGATGTTTGATCTTTTGCTGGGCAATGGTCCAGGCACCAGTTCTGGCCAGTGTGGGTGGGAAATTGTTTCTCAACATCTGTATCTGCACAGAAGAAGATAAGGTTCATCAGCCTCCAGTTCCCCATCAAAGAGAACTACTGTGGTTTGCAACATTTTTAAGTGTGAAAGGAAAAAAATCTGCCACCCACGACCAAATGTCAAGATTGAAGGCTGGTGGCTTGATCTCCAAGGTCTTCAGCAGCTTCCATCTGGCTTGGGCAGCCCTGCTGCCATCCTGAGCACAGCTCAGTAGGGGTCATTTCCGGCAGGAAAAGATGGATATTTTGGGAGGAAGAGAGGTTCAGAATGCCTTTTAGTGGGTATTTTGTTTGTTTCTTTGTGGCTTGTTTTTTGTTGTTTTGTATTTGATTTGGTTTGTATGTTTTTTTAAAATAAAATTTAAATTCACCAGTAATTATAGCTGCAAGAATGGAGAGGAGAGAGAATTGTGAAATGCATGAATCAAGAAAGAGCTGATTTAAAGCAGCCTATCAGAGCTCCTGGGGAAGATCATTTTATCCCAAGAAGCATCGAGGCAGAAGGACTCATAGGATCCAAGAGTGGCAGAGCACTGATGTGAGACAAAGAGCTCCTGGGGAGGGAGTGAGGAAGAAAAGTAGGTTAAAAAAATATTGACAGTGGATTTTCAGGGGAGATTTTTAATGTTGATAGATCCATTTCTCTACAAAAATTGTTTTGAGAAATTTCTCTAATGTTTTTAAGAAGTCCAGACCAAAGTGTACTAGAGAAAATCCTTCCTGTAGCCCTACTGAGGAGCATTTATTAAAGGAATATCATAATGGGAATGATTTTGTTTTTGTGCTCATCTTTTTTTGATTCAAATCTCTGAATGGAGTCTGCTTCCTCGTGGTTAATTTTGAGAGCTGTTTGTGGTTTATTGAAAAGACATGATCAATTAATTTTGTATAAGGAATATACAATCAAACACTGAGCATGGTGAGCTGTCCCTTAGGCCAGTAGTGCCATGGGCTTGGCATCTCCTCCTGGGGCTTTCCTGTGGTTTGTGCTGGTACAAATGACAATGGAGGTGAAGGACAGGACTGTTCCTCTTGGAAATCTTGAAAATGGAGGCAAAAAAAAAAAGGCAATGAGTAGTTTGCCATGGTGCCGGTGGAAACAGATGAAATTGCCCAGGTTTGTATGGGGGATCATCTTGTAGGTTGTACTAATGGTACCTGGAAATTCATCCTTTGTTAACCTGGTGTTGTTTTAATTATTCTCTCAGGGAGCAGAAAAATGTACTGAGTTTGGTGATAAACTGCCCTGGTGAAAATGTTGAGATGTCTTGGGGCAGTTTTGGGCCAGCCTCAGTTTCAAATGTGGCAAAAGGCAAGAAAGCAACGAGCTGGAAAGAAAAGACTAGTCCTCCAAGTGAATAAAGATCAAGGAACTGATGTTGTCTAACAAAAATAAAGATATACCTATGGAGAATATTTTTTTGCAAAATTTAATCTGAATTAAATTCAACTCTAATACTATGCAAAGATAAAAATAAAGGCTGTAGAGCTTTAAAAAAATGGTATGCTGATATAATTTTTTTTCTATTGATTTGTTCTTACAGTGTTTTCCTTTTTTTTTTCCTTAGGTACAAGAAGTCCAGTGCTCTTGAGGAACAAGAAACCCCCAAGCTTAACCTGCCAAAAAAGCAAGGTAAGCATGATTAGTTTTTTTATTTTCCATCATTCTGAAGTTATAAGTAACTGAGGTTTTTTAAATGGAAACTGATCTTGGAGTACAACAGCATTGTATCTGCTGAGCCACAGAGCCAGTGTGTGCACAGAAAAATGCTTTTTGTGTTAGTGCTGCAAGGCCAGAGCAATGTTCCTCCCCAGGTGTGCCCGAGGAAGATGCACACACCATGGACAGAGCAGATTTGAGACGGCTGCTCCCTCCTCTCAAAGGCTGCTCAGAAAAGCTCCGAGCAGCACTGCTGGTGCCATTTCACGCCTGGTGCCTTCACTAAAGCTGGAGGCAGGGCAGGCAGGGAGCTGGAGGTCAAGGGCCAGCTCAGCTCGATGCATCACGCAGCCTCCCTTCAAATCTTACCTGCCCAACCTGCAAAGCTTTTGCGGCGAGGCAGAGCGCAAACCAATCCCCCTCTGCGATTAAAGATGGAAAAATCCCTTCTTTTATGCAATTGTGTCTCTTTGCATCTCTATTTTTGTCATTGGCTGACAGGGTGGGAAGAGAGAAGGAAAGGATGGGTAGGGAGGCACCAGAGAGAGGAAAATTACCACCAGATCAGGCAATTGAAGTGAGAAGGGAGAGAGAAGGAGAAAACAGAGACTAATTCCTGAAGCTGCACCCCTGCTAAGAGAGCTCAGGCTCCCTTACACGTGCTTGAGCCAGGACCATAAAGCCCTAACTTAAGCAGGTTTCTGTTCCAAGAAGGACTCATCTCCTTCCTCAAATCAGCAACATCAAGCAATTTGCTTCTGAAAATACAGTCCCAGTGGTGGTGGGTGCAAGGCTGCTGCTCTGCTCTCAGTTTTATCCTAAACTCCTGGAGTATCAGGCAGCCAGTTACCCCCATGCCTCTTAAGAAATTCAGATGCCAATTGCAAACAAAGTTTGTGGAGTAAGGAATGGGTTACTTTGTGCCCAGCAACCTTGCCTCAGCCATGGCATGCTCCAAGCAGAGGGGCAAACCCAAAGGTGCCACCTTCTGCCTACAAACCATGGCATTGTTGCAGAGATTTGGGTTGGGTCATTTCTTGCTGAAGTGGGAGGAAGCCGGGTGCTTATGTCAAGTTTCTTGATTTAGGAAGCTGTCTAAAGGTTGAGATTTCAGAGAAATTTGGGGGTTGGCTTGGAAGGACTGGCTTTTTCACTGAGAACCTAACTACTGTTCAGCTAACTGCTAAGTCTCAAATCAGGAAGAATGTGTTGTGTTAAATAGTCCTGCAGAACAATGATTTTTGGAAAACAAAGCAACAGTGACCAGAAAGAAAACCCCAACAAACAAAATAACATTTATTTCTGTCATGGCAGCTCTGTGGACTGAAAATGGGATGTTTTGTTTTGCTGCTTTGCTTGTGTGCAGAAAGTGATTGTATCCAGTTGCAGAGAAAAATTACATCTGGGCCTTGGAAGGGGGAAAAAGAGGGTGGGAAGATCTATGTCTCCAGAATCACTGATGCAGGAAGATGCAAGTGCTGTGTTGTGTCTAGTTGCATCATGTGTGAATCCATCAGCGACTTAAAGAAACAGCAAACTCAGTGCAACCTCTTTCTGTGGTTTTTCCATCTGCTCCCTGATCTGCTGGTGATGAATGCTTGGCTTCGCCATCTCCTACCCTCGAGATGTCCTCTGTGGGAGCTCGGGGTGATTTTTCTCAGCTGAAAAAGTACTCAGGAATATCTTCAAACTTTTATGAAGACACCTTTGTCAAATTGTTACTGTGAATGCTGCACTGCTGTTGTATCAATTCTGTTTGTTGAGGACTTCATGGGTAGAGTGTCTGTAAAAATTTTGCTTTTTTCTTTCTTACAATACCATCAAGATGGTCAATATGGGTGGAGAAAAAGGTTCCTTCAGCTTATAGATTTGGGTGCAAGTCCATAATATTCTGACTGTGAGGTCAAAGTTGTTCTGTGAAACTGAAGACTGAGTTTAGCCTTGGGAATAATTCTCTTCCCAAACCCTTGTGCATGACTTTGTGTTATACTCTAAACCAAATCCTTCTCTTATATTGTTCATTGAATCTCAGGAGAGCTGTCTGCCTCCACAAGGAATCCATCAGCCCATACCTACAAGCTCATATATCCATGTCTTGACCTGCTCAGGGACTGACCATTTTCATTTGTAACCCAGGGTTTTTTTAGAGAAAAAACCATATGAAGCAGTGTGTAGGTGCCTCTGTCTATCAGTTTCCACAATATTTTTTAAGCTTGTCAGCTAATGTCTTCTGTTTTGACAGAGGTAAAAGTCTCAATGATATTTCATTCCTAGTAGTTTTCCAGCATAGGTAGTGGAGGAGAGGGCAAACCCCATTGCTGCTCCCCCATACCTCTGTTAGACATAAGAGACTCCACCTCAGCAGAAGGCATTTTGAAAAATCAGGCAGAAGTATCCCTTTTCATTTAGTTGCCATTTCTTACTCACCCATTGAAGGATTTGCTTTTTCAAATGAGCAATGACCACCACAGAATGGTCCTGGGGAGCTCTGTCTCTGTTGTCCTGGGCTGGGGGTTGGCAAGAAGGTGGTAGGAGTTGGGTCAGACCTGGATGCTTCTCTTCCCGCCCATCCCAGGACCTCCTGTCCCAGTACATCTCCATTTTTAATGATTACAAAAGACTTGTAATTGACATCTGAAATACAGCCTTAATTACTGTGGGAGGTTTCAGTATTAGTGAGCTGGTGCCACACAGAATTTGGACATTCTGTAGAAACACCCATGATTTCACTGATCCATAATGAGAGCAAGGATATTGCTAGACACAGCAGAGCTCCCAAAATATTTTGCAGTGACAACCGAGGCCATGCTGCCTTTTGCTCCACAGCAATTGCAGGAATTGTACGTTAACATGAGACAATGACACCGCCCTGATGTTGGCCAAGCTTTGTGCTGCTGAACTTTACACTAATGCCTGCGTGGAGAATGACTTGGGTCAGACAAGAAAAAAGCTGAAAAGCTGTTGGCTGCTACCCCAGAGATCCTCTAGCGGTTCCACATCCCCTCATTGTGCCGTCATTTGTGCGCACGAGTTTATTACCAGAGAAGGGCTGTTGTGTTAGCAAAGACTGTCCTCAATGGTGGCAATTTGGTTTTGTCATGGTAATACAGCGCCGATGCACTGCAGACACAAAAGTGAGTTCTGCATGGCTTGGCAAAGAGATTTTCACATAGCTGCTGGGTGAGCCCATTGGTTTCTCAGTGTTCCTGAACAGGAGTGGGTCAATGGCAATTTTTAGGAAGGCAGATGCCCCTTGCTGAGCTTGTCTGACTATAAAGTGCTACACAAGACGTGCGACGTACATAGCATCCTCAGCCCTCTGTGTAACTCACAGACTGTTAAAAGTGCACAGCAGGAATGAGAACTCTTTTAATCCACTGAATTTGCTGTTTAGCATGACCTGAATAATCCGGTGCGGCTAACGTGATCTTCAGCACTAGCACTCAACTGCCTGCTATTCCCTTTGAAGCTGCAGGATATCAAAAATATCTGTCTGGTTTGGACTTGGATAGTGCCTGTGTGTAATTTGTTTTTCAGTGATATTGTTCCAGGGTCTGCTGTTCTCAATGCCAGTGAGGCTGTTCCTGTGTGAACTTTTTAGATAGGATCTCTCTCGATCATGCTACTTCTTCTGTTGACCACAGCTGCCTGTTCATCATCACTTCCTTTATGTTTTCTCTTTGGTGGGAAATGAAAAGTAGAGGAGGGCAGAGCCAGCGTAGGGAAGCTAAAAATGTGTCAGTAACTGCCTAGCAGGAGGCAGACTCTTTCCTCCAGATTGCCGGATACATGAAGGTACAGCCTTGATTGGTGCAAATTGCAATAGATGAGAAACTATTCGTATTCATTCAAATTTATAGCAGCTCTGTGGATGTTTAAATTCCTCCCCCTGTTTAGCAGTGCCCTGATGAGCCACAGCACGGAACTGGTGGGATGGTGGAGATGAAGAATTGAACCAAAACATGGCTGATGATCTCAGTGGTCAGTGTGTGGTTACACCTTTCTGCAGAATGCGTGTTCTTTCTCAAAGAAATAATCATGTGGGAAATGGAGATGTATTTTTGGGAAGGGTCTCCTGTTACTCCAGAGCTCTCTGGTTGTATCTGACTCGTAATCTGACAGCCCTTTCTGTCATTGATGTTAAGAGCTTCTCTGGGGTTATGAGAAAAGACAAACTTTCAAACCCAGCATCCTTAAGAGGGCATCCAAATGCTACACTCTACAAAGGGATTGAAATTAGCTCTAAATGCAGTTGGCTTTATCTGCTTTATGAAAAAGAGAAATATATTTTAAAAGGATATGTTTCATGTAATCATGCTGGGTTTATCAAGTGCAGAAAGATGTCTCCTAACAATACCCAGGAAGATTACAATTGTCAATCAGAACAGAGGTCCTGTTCGTGCCTCTTTGCCTCACTCCCCTGCTGCTCTGATTTTTATGGGCATAGCAGCACTGAACAAGGTGAAGAGTGTGAAGAAAGCTATTTAACCATCAAAAGACAGTGCCAGCCAAGCGCAGAGCTGAATTTTGGCTTCTCAGTGCCAATAATGAAGTTTTCAAAGGGAGAAATCTGCACAACAGGAGGAGTGGAAACCATCCTGTGTGGTCCCATAAATGGTACACTCTCTCCTTCTGGGGCTCCACAATAGCACAAGGGCTGCTTCAAAGTGGGCAAAGCCATTCTTGAAGGGCTCGTGGAGCTTTTCAGCTCATTGCAGGATCCTCAGAAACCCTCAGCATCCTCCTCCTCTTGGCACGGCAGGGTCGATAAAATCAGATCAAGGCTTAGTATTTCTAAACAAAAGGGAGTGGTTAAATGGGCTTTTAAACACTGGAACCTGTCCAGCTCGTTGGGAGGCAGAGCCCGGAGGGGCGGGGGTGAGGAGAAAGCTCAAGGTGCCAAACTTGGGGTAGAGTGGCACTTGTGAGCAAAGTTGTTGGAAAGTCATTTTGTTGCTTGTGTTGCTCAGTGT